ACAGGCTCTATGTGTGAAACAGAAAAGGGAAACAGATGACACGTGATGTGAGCATTACAGTGCTTCTACAATTGGTGGTCATAATTTTATTGGTGTCAGAGACTCAATGGTTAAGAGGCAAAAGAATTGATAGTACAGCTAAGGAGCCCAGTTGTTAGTGCTCAGAACTGGGAAAGAATTCTGTACTGAAAGGAGATTCAAATGTTTTCCTTCTACCTACACTATACATGGAATGCTCTAGCAAGAACTTAGGTTAGTGCTTATCTCAGTAGCATGATGTCCTCCAGAACAACATAAAGACTGTTTCAGCATTGACTCTGATTTGTAACCTGTACTTATATTGATGAGTGCCATTCCTGCAAACCAATCAGGCTGAGGTAAAGGTATTTGATTATCTTACTGACAACTTGAGGAAACATTCTGTACCAATGAACATGTTCAACACGTTTCAGTAGGAATGAGAACAAGCACAACTTGTGCAGGATCTATGATACCAGCTTACTCTCCTAAAGTAGGGTATCTCCTTGTGATCTCTTTTTTCCCTCTGTCTGAGATAGCAAAGCAAATTGCATCAAGCTCCAGCATGCACTGCACATCTGGCAGTGGATTTTCCAGTACAAAAGCCATTCAGTCACCAAGAGTTCAGTGACATGACCTTTCTCAGAGCAACCCACAAAGAGGTTGGCACTTCTAGAATTATGTGATTTTGACAACATCTGGAGTTCAGTTGTCTCCGGTAAAACAGATGTTTTACTTCTGCTGAGTGCAAATTTCTTCCCATGTTCACCATTCTGATTTCTTTTTCAAGTTGTGTTCAGCCAAGAAACAAACATAAATTTGCTTGGAAACTGTTCCAAAGAATCTGCCATCTGAACTTCAGAATGATTTGCTGCTTTACTTGCTCTTGACAGGCTCTGAAACCCCTCCAGGTCTATAGTTAGGATAGAATTTCTTTTGCATTTTTTCTCATGGCCCAAGTGATGTGAGGACCATCCCAGTGAAACCCCGATATTGTAGTAGCAAGGAACAAGGTAAGGGAAGAATCTGTCTGTGTTTCCCTTGCTGCTATTGTAACAAGGAAAGAATAATGCAGACACCTATGCTCTGAAATTATGCTAAACCTGGACCATATTTTGGTCTCTTATGCCTGTTGCAAAATAAATCAAAGGATAAGTTAGGTAAGAATAATGATGCTGGGTAGCACCAAGATCACAGAGCCTTTGCTGAACTCCTGCTGCAGCTTGTGTAGACTGATAGGTTCCTGCAGACAGTATACGGTGTGTTAAGAAATCAATAGCCTAACAGTTCCTATTCACTTTTCACTTGATGTGCATTTTACTCTTTTACTAAGAGTAAAAGGCTAAAAGAAGCTCTGTTCTGGCACAGCATAAGGGGCTGACCAACTGTTTCTGGACTGTTTTAGAGTTGAGGAACATTAAGACACACAAGAAATGGAACCAGGCAAAGGAAGCATGATCAAAATACTTCCCCAGCAAACCTCAGCAGCTAGGACAGTGTTTCCACACAGCTCTGAGCAGGTGTGGGAACATTTGCCACTTATGCCAGGCACACAGTCCCAGAGTGCTGTGGCTGTAGGATGACAGTTTTACTGGGAAATAGAAGAGAGAAAGGGGAGCAGCAGGAAGCCTGGCACGGTGCTGAACTCAGTCCTGACTCTGCACACCAACTCTGGCATCAGTATACTCCTCTGCCTCTGTGCTTTCTGTCCTCCCATGCCCAGCACAATACCAGCCACATGTGAAACTCTTGCTGACTCACACCCATTGCCCAGAACAGTCTTGGCTTTGCCCGTGTTCAGTTCTCTATGCAGCACTGCATGGTAATATTCTTGTACAAAATCCTCTCTCCTAAGTGTTACTGTTTGTCACTGTCCTAGCTTTACACGAAGGCCCATTCCCCTGCTGAAAAATGTATTTCTACTAGTACTAAGTACTTCCTACTACTACTTCTTCCTCCTACTAACTTGTTCCCAGAATTAAACTTCCCCACTTTACAAACAAACTGGAGTACCCTGGACCAGGAAGAAGGCTGTTGGAAAACAGCACAATGGCTTTAAATAAGCAACTAAGTAAGCAGCTGTAGGGGAGGGAACAAAAGAGGGGCAAAAGCAAGTGTATAGCCAGCTTCTGCACTTGCCAACCACAACAGGCACCTGTTTTGGCAGTGCTCAGAGCTTAGAAGTAAGGGGACACTAAAGAGTTAAAAAGGTTTTCAGTGAAAGCGGGCTTATGAGAGAAGGGGGGAAAGAGGAGGAGCAATCTTGTACACAGACTTTCCAGAGCCTCCGGAGATCAGTAAACCCAGGGAATCACAGACCTATGCATAGGATGCCTTTTTTTTTTCTTTTCTCTTAGATGTTTTAATTTAGGTGGTTGGGATCTAAATATATAATGATTTATCCTAAAATTAATGTATGGTAACAGGGTATAACTTGACATAGCAATCAGAACTGCAACAAATTACCAAAATTCAACCATCAGATTCAACGTAAAATTCAGCCTGATAGTAAGAGAATCTTACAGTCATATTCAGTGACAAGCAATTATTTGCTGTGGGTCACCAAAATATTTGAGATCTGACAAGGTACCAAAATAACTCAGGTATTCACCTATATGTTTTACACTTACATCTTACTGGTCCCCGGTAGCCAGCCTTTCTCTGGTTTAATTTCATCTCATTACCCAAAGATACGTCCCTGTGCATTTATTTTGTTAATGAAATGCTGGCTCTATGGGAATATCAGCTCTGTAGGGGTTGCCAGGACATATAAAAAAGAACAGCCATAAACTATGTTCATTATTATTGCAGTGCAATGCCAGGTCTAGTACTGCTTTCAAAAAAACAGAAGAGGGAGAATAGAACTTCACATGTCCCTGACCTGTCCAGAGGGACAAAACAGAGAGCTTTTATTTTATTTGTTTCTACAGTGACTCACTCTGTAGTAACTGGGTTAAAGTCCACTTAGAAACTAATAGAACAAAAGGCCTCCTGTTAGTGCTGGATATTTTCCCTCTTCAGATATCACCAGAAGGATTTATAAAAAGAAAAAAGAAAAAAAGCCCTCTAACAGAATGCAGGAAACCACAAGCTTATGGGAATGTAGCAGCACTTTGGAAAGGAAAACACTGCCTCAGACTTTCATCTGCAGGGCTGGTTTTTTTCCCCCCATTTTTTCCTTACCTTCTTTTCATCTTCTTGCAGCTAGAAGCATTTGCCAGGTCAGCACATAGCCTGGAGAAAAGTCTGGTGAGGAGAGCAGTTAAGTTGCAGGGGGTCATTGCCAGATCCCAGACAGAGAGGGAAAAAATTGTGTTGTGCTGATCACTGTAGTCTGCAAGGGGGCTCCAGCACAGAGGGAGAGAGCTTTGGTGCAGCTGTGGCTTGCAATAGTTGCTTGCCAGACTGAGGGTCTTAACAGGGTCAAAACCCTGGATTCTACAAGCTGTACTACAAGGGGGGAAAAAAAGGGCTTTTTCCTAATTTTTATTTGGTATGTCTGGTCTTCCTTTTTTTTTTTTTTTTTAATGTAGCCTAATGACATCTAAGTAACAAATTACATAATGTTCTCTAAGATATAAAAACTATCTGAAATGCTTTCTGCCTTCCATTCTAAGTATTGTCATGACATGCCTGTGTTTTCGTTATAAAGAAAACATTTTCCAGCAGGCATTCACTGAATTTCATTAATTTTCACTTTAACTTTTTCCTAAGAAACGTGAAGTGACAATAACAGAGAAAGCACGTTGAAATTTTATTTTGCATATAAGAATGAGCATTTTATCAAATTTTCCAAAACTTCCCAATCTCCGCAGCTCCCAAATCTGAGGAAAATTGCAGTTGTCTAAAATTAGAAGGGAAATTGAAGTTAAATGTCATTTCTTACCTATAGTTTTAGCTATTATTGTGATCCTAGTTTGTACAAAAGACTATGTTAATTTTTGTTAGGTGAGCTTTATGTTGACCTAGATCGGGAAACAGCTTGGTGAATAGTGTGATGAGCAATGTGTTGGGTATAAGGGAGGAATGGGAACGCATAGCCAGAACTGGACCACATAACCCAACTGTTAGTTTAATTTAGACTGCTGCAGAACCATAATCTTAAGTGGTAAGTTTTTGAGTGACTTGACCAAGACCGCACTGCACATAAGTAGTTACTTTATTTAGTTAGCTGACTGATTCCATGCTGAGTTAGAGAAGTTCGTCTGTTGTATTCATAGTAAATAGGTAAACAGAGTTGACCTTGCTATGCCTATTTCGCTGAAAACTGATGACACTGTGCAGAAAATTCGGTCTTTAAAATAAAATTCTATCCTTAATACTATATGAATCAGTTGCTTGTAGTAGTTGGTAATGTGTCATATATGGTGTCTCCTCCCTAGGCCATTTGGGCTGGTTTCCATATCAAATAGTTAAAAGAATCAAAAATCAAATGACTGGTTTTCACTTGTGTGAAGTAAGTAGTTGTAGATACTAGTAGACAAATTATCTTCTGAAAAGCATCTAAATTTGGATTCTTTATCAGCATTTCCATGAAAATAAAAAAGTTCTTTTTTCTTATACAAAGTCTCCTGCCTTAGCCTTCCTTAGGCTGAAGAATTTGAGCTCTCACAGCCTCTCTTATATGCCAGCCCCTAACCATTTTAGGGTCACTCCACTGGACTTCACTTCAGCTTGCAAATGTCTTTCTTGCAGTGTATGCTGTAAGACTGGACACAATATAGCAGTCTTTGTTAACGAACACATGGTTAAAGGCTTTTGCCATTAGTGTGATCACAGCTAGTCACAGTTGAAAGCATGTTTTCAAACCTTGTCCAGAGGTAGAAAATTAAGTCTGACTAGGCAGGATGTTTTAAAACACACTTGGGACTACTGACACTGAAAAATTCCAACATCTTACAACACATGCTAACACACACACTATTTAGCACTCAGAGTAGATAAGAAGGATGACTCTTCCTACCTGCATAGT